GAGGAATTGTATGAGCTTAGTCTCAGATTCATGTTGAGCAACCTGTTTTCCCTTTACACAATCACAGATTCTCATAGGTGCAACACATGCATATTCATCCCAAAGCTTCTTTAGTTTGTTGAAATAGTCCATGACTGTATCATTGCCCTGACTAAGACTTGTAATTTCCCTCTGCAACTTATACTTCATAGGACCATTATTTTCTCCATATCTTTGACATATTTCTTCCCACAGCTCTTTAGACGATTCAGCATACATGAATGATTCAGCAATATTTTTTGACAGAGAGTTCAAAATCCAGGAGAGTACAGTCCAATCTACCTTTTTCCATATAACATACATCTCATCTCTTTCATCTGGTTTCTCAATTTCTCCATTAATGAATCCAATTTTTATCTTCGCACTGACGGCAATTATCATTGATCTCTTCCAAGTAAGAAAATTACTACCAGTTAAGGGATGCGTAACCAGTACCATACCAGGGTGATCGGAACCGTGTAGAAACAAAGGATCCTGCTCTTGAAGCTTCGGTGCTGGTGCAGTGTTGGTGTTGAGCAGTGGCCAAGCTTCATTTCTTCTTTGCGCCTCTGAAAGAAAAAAGGCTAGCCTCTTTACTAAGCCCTCACTGAACCTTCTCAAAGACTCCTTTTGCACTGAGAACACAATTCAGAACGTCCGGAGAGATTGATTTTTGATTTGATTTTGTCAACTCGGAACTTTGTTGAGGTTGCTCGCAGCTTAGATTTTCAGAACCAGTTAGAGATCGTTGAGGGTGATGATTCGCAGCGTGAACGAACAAATCGATGCCTCGAAACTCGGATTCAAGCTTTCAGATTCCAGAATCATTTGCTCTGGATACCATGTTGAAACTCAGATTTCAAGGTAAGATATTTTGGGAACAAATTTTTATTTCTCTTAGCTCAAAATAGAAAAAGTGAACAATGATGACCTAAATAGGTCTCATGCACGTGTCCCACATGCAATGCCAAAACGACACCGTTTTGGCCAAAGTAAAAACCGCACTTCACTTACAAAGGCGTGAACACGTTTTCTACCAAAGCTAGTTACAGAAAACAAAAGAAATGAAAATAAGAAAATGAAAGCAACATGTTAAAACCTGCACATATGCAGGCCTTCATAGCACTCCACTTTGCATAGTCGAACATAGTCGAGCACCATTCCAACAAATAGCTCATTTCAGAACAATTTCCTACGCATATCCTGAATCTTCACCATAAATTGCAATCAGTAAGCTCTTTCAAAGATCAAATTCTTCTCTACTTATGAGAGACATCATTATATAGGACCCAAATGCACAAAATGTTTCACTTAAAAATCACCGTGAATCTTTTTAACATTATAGGTTTCTCCTGGTGTAATTTACATTTTCAGTCCCAGAAATAAAGTGGGAAAACTGGAGAAAAAGCTGCACAAGCTGCAGAATCTCACTTGTAAATAAACAGGTTAACAACATATTCAGTTGGTCCGAATTACGAGTTCTTCAAATCCGACAATGCTTCCCGAGTCGTGGATGAGATTACAGCATCCGAAGCATTTGGCAGATAATAGTATTTCCCTGAAAAGAAGGCATGAAATTTTTATGGCCAATATCTCATTCACAAATATGAGAGAATAATGCACAAAAACTTCGAACAAACGCACCTTGAGCAACTCGAGCTATCTCCTTAGCAAAACCGGTTGAGACGAACTTATTTTCAGTGTCAATGACAAGGAGCGACATCCCTGCTTTATATATTTTCCCGGCAACCTCAAGAATTTCATCCTGAAAATAATATAACAAGTCAAACCATTGAGTGTCACTGCTAGAAAAAACATAGAAGTATAATTATGAAACTACCCATGAAGATTAAGTTCATGACATTAAAAAGACAAAAAATATCCCCATAGCTTTTAAATTACGCATAAATCCTGAGCGTATAGAAATACCATTTGCATACTTTACGACAAGTATCTTTAAAGGACTGCGATCTGTATGGGAATCTCGTTTAGAAATCAGGGTCAAACAATTAAAGGCAGATTTGAACGTGCAAACTTTTAGAGCACGATTATTAAGATATGGGCCAAATATTTTCCCCTGTCGTATTTTATTTTATTGACTTTAGAAAGTGATTTATATGTTAAACCTTCAATTCGAGTCACACAAGGGGTAAGTGGGTAAGTGGGGAACTACTATTGATCCTCTTAAAAAAAGTTGAACCTTCAATTCTTGAGCAGAAGGTTTAGGGGCATCAGAAGCCGCAGCTTCAGGATCTGTAGATCTCTTTAGAGATATATTTGCCCTGCCGTCAGTTATTGCAACAATCATTATACGCCCAACATCACCACTTTTCTCGGCATTCATTCCAACTCGAACGGCCTGAGGAGAAAATTTTCAAGAATTGAGAGTATTTTTTTTTTTTTTTTCATATTTGATGCCAATGAGAAGTACTTTAAGAGATGATAAACGGCCAAAGGACCAATAAATATCTGTAGTTAGGATAATTGAGGAAAATGAAATCCATAAGGAACAAGTTGCGATCTCTGCAAAGAAGGAGAATTTAAAATAACTTGCTAGCTTTTACATATAAGATATTCTCACTGGTTATAAAATGTTGCAGTAAATTTTAAAATAGTTGGTGAAGTATTAGGATAAGATCACATGATAACATTTATAAGATGTAGGTAACGGATTTTTGTACTTGAAATAGCCAAAAATAAAGTAGGTGATCAAAATAATTACAGAGATATTCAAAAAGGAAAAAGAAAAAAAAAA